AAAAGCCGTCGAAACCCGCTTATATAAGGGAAAAGGTTAACAAAAAATGATGAAAAACCTTGGAATTACACAAAAACTAGATTTTGCATGTTAACATATGCCTTAACACCGAAATTTGGTGAAAATTTTTTGTTTTTTGACATTTTTTTTTATTAACCTTTTACCCCATGAGCATATTGCGAAAAATGGCCGTTTTCATTGAAAAGCCTCCTGTAACAAGTTCAAACAGCTATGAAACTATGAAAAATGCTTCAATACTAATGAAACTTGGCACAAATGTTGACTACACCATAGCCTCTGTAACAGCATGCTCAATGGTAAATTTCCTGTTACCATGGCAACGGGGGGCGTCTCAAAATTGCCAAAAGTCACTATTTTGCATTGTTTTTTTTTCCATCAAAACTGATTTCAAAGTGCTGCAACTTCTCAATGAATTGAGATAGAGTAAAAGGCTTTTCAGCGTCGGTTACTAGTTACCCTAAGATCGACCTGAGGCCATTTTTAGCCTGTCACATGTCCAAAATTTTCTTGCCGATGAGGGGGACCCCCCCTTCAAACCCCCCAAAACAGAAGGGGGCACATCCCCCTTCTGGCAACCCCCTGATGTAATATTTGGATGGGGAACGGCGCCGAAAAGTGGGCACTTTTTTTAACAACATTTCTCAAACGAAAAACAGTGTTTGGGGCCTAAATAGGGCATTTTTTCACTGTTTGAGTCCTCAAAAGGGGGGGGGCAAAAAGCCGTCGAAACCCGCTTATATAAGGGAAAAGGTTAACAAAAAATGATGAAAAAATTTAGAATTACACAAAAACTAGATTTTGCATGTTAACACATGCCTTAACACCGAAATTTGGTGAAAAATTGTTGTTTTTTGACATTTTTTTTATTAACCTTTTACCCCATGAGCATATTGCGAAAAATTGCCGTTTGCATTGAAAAGCCTCCTGTAACAAGTTCAAACTGCTATTAAACTATGTAAAATGCTTCAATACTAATGAAACTTGGCACAAATGTTGACTACACCATAGCCTCTGTAACAGCATGATCAATGGTAAATTTCCTGTTACCATGGCAACGGGGGGACGTCTCAAAATTGCCAAAAGTCACTATTTTGCATTGTTTTTTTTTCCATCAAAACTGATTTCAAAGTGCTGCAACTTCTCAATGAATTGAGATAGAGTAAAAGGCTTTTCATCGTCGGTTACTAGTTACCCTAAGATCGACCTGAGGCCATTTTTAGCCTGTCACATGTCCAACATTTTCTTGGCGATGAGGGGGACTCCGCCCCCCTTCAACCCCCCGCCCCCCAACAGAAGGGGGCACATCCCCCTTCTGGCAACACCCTGATGTAATATTTGGAAGGGGGACGGCGCCGAAAAAGTTGCCACTTTTTTAACAACATTTCTCAAACGAAAAACAGTGTTTGGGGCCTAAATAGGGCATTTTTTCACTTTTTGAGGCCTCAAAAGGGGGCGGAAGCCGTCGAAACCCGCTTATATAAGGGAAAATGTTAATAATAGTTTAGAGCTTTGAACATAACATTTGCATTACACAAACTGTGCCAGCATGAGATTAATTTAGGGTACTGAATTATATCATTCGTCTCTAATGAACACTTTACCCTCAGTGTCACATTTAGATAAAATTAACAATAATTTCGCTAAAATGGTTAACACATTTCACGTCAAAGCAATATCATATTATTTCTACCAACTTTTAAGCTAAGGATATTACTAAAAGCAATACAGACTGTAAACATAAGCATGTAAAAGTTCACGAAACAGTTATAGACCTTAAACTACTGTATACAATACAATTTAAAATTGGCATTTAATCATGTTTTATGTGATTATTTTTTCAGTATACCATATGCAGTATTTAGAGGACAATGTGCAAAGAAAAGTAAGTGAAACTAACATTGAAGAAAATGATTGATTGCACTCATTCTCAATGAGAAACAGAAATTATATTATTTAGTTTTTAGTTTAGTTTAACTCTTTAGTTTTGATAATTATGTAAGGGTAGGTTTGTCCGTTATTTCAGTTAACGTTGTTTTAGACTATTTGAAAAAAAATCATTGTCTTTGATTTGAGTTTCATTGAAAAAGGTGAACAAGTCCTCCTTTTTATTTCATAATTGAACTGTTTAGTTTTGACTATTGCACAAGGGTAGATTTAGTCCGTCATTTCATTTAACTTTTTGTGAAGGCTTCTTAATCTTTGCTTTGAGTTTTATTGAAAAAAGTTGATCGGTTCTTCTTTTTGTTTTATTATTCAACTGTCTAGTTTTGATTATTGTATAAAGGTGGAGTGGTCCGTTATTTCAGCTAGCATTTTCTAAAGTCTACTTGAAAAAAAATCATAGTCTTTGGTTTGAGCTACATTGAAAAAGGTGGACTAGTCTTCCTATTTTGTTTCATAATTGCACTGTTTAGTTTTGATTATTGTATAAAGGTGGATACGTCCGTCATTTCAATTAACGTTTCCTAAAGATTCCTTGAAAAAATGCATAGTCTTTTGAACGTGTTAGACTGAAAAAGGCGGACTTATCCTCCATTTCGTTTCATAATTTAACTGACAAGTTTTGTATTATTGTATAAAGGTGAATTAGTCCGTCATTTCAGTGACTCCTTGATCTTTATTTTAAGTTTCCTGTAACGGTAAGCTAGTCCTCCTTCACGTTTTATACTGAGTTATTTAGTTTTTATTATTGTATCAAAGAATATTAGTTCGTCATTTCAGTTAACGTTTCTAAAGACCTTTTGAAAAAAAAAATGCATAGTTTTATATTTGAGTTAGATTTAAAAAAATGCAGACTAGTCCTCTTTTCGTTTTAGTTTTGATTCTTGTATAAAGGTGAATTAGTCCGCCATTTTATTAACGTTTTCTTAAGACTCCTTGATAAAAATGTTTAGTATTTGACTTTACTTAGATTGAATTAGGCGGACTACTTGATTTCATGTGTTTTCCTTTTCATTACTTCAACAATCCAGATACAGACATTATTATTTTTAATCACTCATCATTTATTTCTTTGTACTGAATTCCGGCTATAAACAGTAATGAATTATTGAACACCGAAGATCGTGAAAAAAACATTCCGGAAATGACTGATTAATTACGATATTGACCGATGTTAGAAATGTTTTGGCGGAAAAGCATAAAATTAAGACTACACTAAAAAAAACATGGGATATACATTTGTCGTTTAACTACGAACAAACCATAATATGATACAACCAATACTACGATAAGAAGTGCACATAAAGTAAAAATATAGGACAGGTTCTTATAAACATTTGCTACTTTTATCAAAGTAGGACAACCAATCAATGCACATTTGTGCCATCCGATTAGTTGTTTGGCTGGCCGAGAAGCTCATCTGGTAATTATTTGAACGAATGTCACAAATAAATGTTTGGTACAAATTGAATATAAGGTTACATTGATTTTTTCGCACCCGTTTTGTTTCGCCAGTTACCGCTGGTTTTTCTTTAGCTAGTTTAATGGATTGCAGAGTTTGGGGTCAAGATTCATTCCAATCAGGAACAGTCTTAAATGCTTCACAAATATGCAGTAGATAATTAAAAACATGTTTGGGTGATGTCCTCCGCCGCATTCATTCTTACTGATGCTATACAATTCAAGATATTATCAAATATTAAAATAATTATGTATTATATATCAGCATAATGTTTTGAGCTTTTTATTATGATTGCTTCATAAAATGCTAGGGTTTTAGCACTCCCGTATGAACTGCTCACGATCTTACTTGCCATCAAATGTTCCATTTACATAACTATTAATTATAATTAAACTGCTTCATATTATTTATATCTGGTAAAATAAAATAAATGTAGTATTGTTAAATAAATTAAAGGTTAGCTAACTGAAATATACAATCCTATTAATGATGTTGCACTTATTAAAACAAGCCGAGCAAGTCCTACGTTCATTTTCACCCACCAATGAACGACTAACTCGAACGGAGTTTTTTGGTGAACGCATAACATTATAGTGTTTATGAATTTATGTTTACATTTTTATTGAGGGAACACAAAACAAATTGTGTCGGCCCGCAGCTATGCATGCTTTGTATTCAAGTCGTATAAGATTTTACATCCGACAAAATACTTAATAAAATAGTTATGAAAAAAGAAACGATTGCGTTGTGTATAAATGTTATGTGGTATGTTAAGTTTCTTCTATTTGACATTTATTAACGTTTACAACTTGGGTGGCTTCAGCATACATTCTTGAATACCATACGAACACTTTTTAGGATATTATGCATGCTGTTTTTAAATTATCTTTTTTTCATCTTATCTGTGATATGCAGATTTCATAACCTCTGATTTTCTGTGTCTATTACATTTTCTAAAGAACGTCCAAAACGAAAATTGTAAATGTTGCAGGCTCAGTTTGATAGAGCCTGTTCATGGTGATGGGAAGTGCAAGTCGTTCAATTTGGTAAATTTAATAACATCTTAACAACTCGCACGCACAATTAGAAGTAAAGAATGAGAAATATTATTGAATCAGTTTATTTCTTATGTAATTGAAATTTCTCAAGTGTCAGATTTTTGCCGAGTTCAATGACTATTTTAACTGTCAAACACTTGAAAGAAGACCGGTGAAGGATGCCATCTGTTGATATTTGAAAACATGACTTTGTTGCCGAATGATGTACTCATTACATACACTTGATCACCCGCCTCAATTTTTCGCCGGAACCATTGTCGAAGTGCAGGTACTTGACATGTCTTTATTGTTGCTACTGCACTAATTCTAGTATTTTCATGTACAAATAGCTGCAAGTCATATAGTAAAGATCTGGCATTACATATCTGAAGGGCCTAAACTGGGTACCATCCCCAGCCACAGGGGCTGTGAAAGATTCCCGGTGCTTTCGTTATAACCACCCACCTTTCATTAAAAGCAATACAACAGGAAAATATGATAAGTTTCGTCGGCGCCGTAATTTTCCCCCCCAGTACTGAGGAATATGCGTTAAAACGCTACTTTCGGTGTGGTAACTAAAGGCAAAATCATGGGAATTTTAAGGTCAAGTCTGTTTATTATAGTAATAGCACGAGGAATAGCCTTACATCATTTTATAAAATAATTACATTGTATGTTTATGTCAAAATGTATGAAGCAAACAATATAATTGAAGAAATCACTGTTTACATTTATTGTGAGGAAGTATCTCTTAATGTTATAAAACTGTATTAATAGCATCTTTGTGATGCGACATGATTTGATTGATTGTTGTAATACTCGGATACGTTAATCAGGCATTTAGTGTAAAATATAAAGCTGAAATTTACCACATCCCTGTGATTCTGTTGTTTCCAAACCAACCAACAGCAACATACATATCTGAAATATCACTTACTGAGTAATGTTATAAAAGTTGATCAGCTTACAACTTTGTTATGGTTGTTTTAAAGATATTTTACTTGTTACTAAGACAATAGCTCTAATGATACTATTAAGATTTTAAAAGTGAATCACAGCTTAAATTAGGGAAAAAAAGGCATATAAGACATTTTATTTCAGAAATCAACGATCAATAAAATAAAAATTCTATTAAACTAAGTATTGGCATTAAGAATTGCACTGGAAATAAGTCATACCGTGGTAGGTAGGATAAATTTCCTCATGTTTTACAGATTGGCAATTTCCAAGAAGGCAAGAGCGAATTGAAAGAGTATTTTCTTTCTGAAAGTGCAAAAAGAAAAAAAAATAGCATGATTCAACGGCAACACCAATTGATTAATAATTAATAGAATATAACTTTTATGAAATTGTTATTTTCTCTCTGCACTTGTGAAAAATTGTAGTTACTTATAAGCGAGGTAGTTTACGCTTACTAATATTAAGTCACGTTTAATGTATTTGTCATCGTATTCGAGTCTTGATGTATTTATAATGCATAAGATTAACACAGTTGAGAAAAAAAATCCCTATAGAAAGCACAATACGACAAAACTAAAATTGTTACAGGCCCGGTTTAATGGACGGTAGTGCTTATTGCAAGCTACCGCCCCAGCCCCGTAAAATTTGCTTTAGCAAAATTCAACATTTAAAGAAATACCATGCCAATCTTTGGGTTAAATACTTATACTGCAATTTAGTAAATTATTCCTGAATATGTCTAATTTGATTAAGTGAATGTATAAACTATGTTTTGGAAGCTGCCTTCCCTTTTACTTGTCGAATTAATTTGGTCTATTTTTACAAAAACTGCCAGTTTTTTAATGACACTATATGTTAGTGTTCATCCGTGCTGTTCTTCAGAAATTAGAGACTTCGACGGGAGCAACGGCGACAGGAGAATGTTTCTATTCGCTTTAGAACAGCTACGGATGAATACTAACATAATTGGTGTCAAGCTTTATTTGTCCTTTATTATGTCACGACTAATTTTTACGAGGGCGGTTCTATGAAGTAATATAAAAAAAGATGGCGACTATGGACGGAATTTCATTGGATGGCAACTAAAGCTGGTCACTAAGCATTCATACTGTGATTATTTCGTAATGTGTAGAAATGAATATTAACATAACATGTTTCTCTCTGTGTATATTCAAAACATGTTTATTTAACATTTCAAAAAGATTTTTTGTGTAGTATGTTTATTTTTGTGTGGCTTACGGGATAATCTCTACGGCAAAGAGTTGACTTTTTTTTCTTAACATGAGCAACAACAAAATGTTCTCCTCAACTGTTATGAAGTTTACCGTTATGTGCTTTAAAATAAATATTATTAGTTATGTTGCATTTTTTCGTATGTACATTATCATTTTCATCATTGAAAATATAAATTTATTTATTTCACTTCAATTTGCATAAACTCGATGTTTAAAGACGGGAGCGATTTGTTGATTCTAGAATAAAAAGTCACGTGTTGGAAGTAATTCTGAATCGAACGATTCCGTTTCTGAATCAAGAAAAAAGTAATAAAGTTCTAAGGAGATATTCAAAATGGTGAAGAAAGCTGTAGTAAATTACAAAGTCACTTCACTTTTAATAATGCTGGATGAAGATGATGGATTGTTTTAATCAGTCATATAGCATGAAATAACGAGAGAAAAAAAGAAATCCCTGCATTGGCGGTTTCAACGATGTACGTTAAATAATTCTATTACTGAAACCTACTATGGAATTCGCCATCTTTTTACCACTTGATCTTTGATTCCACAAAGAATTGATTCCGAGAACCAGAATTGTTAAATCGAACGTGCTTCAGAAGTGCTTCTATGAATCATTGCCAAATCGCACTTGCCTAAAGTCAAGACCAACTTGGCGTTGGTATGACTAAAATACGCAAAGGAGATTTTTTGGCGCAACGGACATATTTCATAAGCAAAAACAGGCACAACGTTTGCTTTTGTTATAAATTCAATGTAACTTTGTTTTATTATGTAACAGATAGTTACTATATATGTTGTTTTTAAGGATTCCATGAGACTAAAAGCGGTCCCTTAATTTTTTTCTAAACTCCAATGCATCGTGAACACAATAAAATCATACAAGCACAATTACAAATCTTATCTGTTCTAAAATATTATTTCTATGTCTACATGATTACAGCTACCATTGATTATTATTAGGATGAACGTGTTTATCCGATATTTGTACAATGTGATTTTTAAGTGGTAAGTGATCATACGAGAGAGAAAGCAATCGTTTCTATGTCATTCGTAAAGACGTATGGCTAATTAAAAAGCAAAAACACAGATAAATTTACATATTCCCACTAGTCATATTTAAATAACTAAATCAACTAGGTCTACATGACATTGTGCTGTTTCGAAACAAAAACATTTCTTGTTTGAATAACGAACTAATTAAATAATTGTCAAAAACATGGTACAGTTTTAAGCCTAATGTCACTTTTATGAAATACAACTATTTTAGAACTACACATATAATGATATAGAAGAAAAGTGAAAATAAGCTTATTTATTATGTACTCACGTGTTTCACTGACTGGACGTCTGAGTTGTAGTTGCATGTTGTCTGTGCTTAATTTATACTGTTTGCCTTGTAACATATTGCAACATTTCAATAGCAAAATCGGCTGACAAAGCAACAAAAGATTTGATTCATTGGCTTAATTCTTTGTTTGATAACAATAATAAAAGAACCAGAGTTGCAATGAAGATATGATTTGCAAGCAGTTGCTTCAATTGTATAACCACGTGAGCAAAAATCTCTCAAAACATTTCAAATAACCATGTAGTTTCTGCCATGTAGAACGAGGATCTGCAACGTACGATGATGATGTGATAGAAAATGTTCAAGTTCATGCAATAGGTATATAACATTGAAACATAGTTTCTCAGGAAGCTGACAAATTATTTTACTGGAAAATATTATACTTTCATTAACTTTCTCGTTCGATCCTTTTATTCTCCTCAGATTTAAAACATATTTTTATACAATGTAGCAGAAAATTAAAGCTAGCCAGGAGGATATTTTAATTATAATTTTAATATGCAATCATTTTTTAATTTGATTTAATGAGTAGGCCTGATTCTAACCATTTTTTCTGGTGAAAGTCTAAAACTGTTGACGCTGTTAGCTGGTTATTTCAGAATTTCAAAAGCATTGCTTATATTTGTTCGTTTCTTATAGTTGAAGTGAAAAGTATAATTCTAATTAAGAGTGTTTTATGACAACATCTAAATATCATCTAGTTAGCGCGCAATGACAGTAATATGATTTGCTCTAGTTGCATCATACTGTTTCATCAGAACAACTGTTGTTAGAAATTCACAGGATAATGTTATCAGAAAGAAAATGTAAAATCATACAGATTTATGCTTTGATATTATATAAGCCTATGGTTTGTGAAGCTAGATATCTGATTTTGCACAATTGTTAACTTCTCGTCAAAACAACATAAGTTACCAGACATGTACTCATACGTACATATCGCATACATGATGTTTCAATCAAAAGTGAATATTTATACGAGAGTTGTTTAAAAACTAATAGGACTTACAGTCTTGCATCATCCATTCAATTTCAAATATGTTCATATTATAGCGACCGTACAATGTTTCTACAATTTGAGCATTAGGTTATTAAATAATTGTGCTGTATGCTTGTTCCCTGCAATATGGAATAACCATGGTAACACTTACCCGGCGCAGCAAATCCAAAGTTATTGAATTTCAGCTGCATTTATCAAGTTTTAAACAGCAATTGTCATAGCGTTAAATATAAAAAAACATGACGTTTGTTTAAAAATGGAAGTGTTGTGCATCCAATATATTATCAATGCTCCTTAAGATACAAACGAAACAATTATTAAAGAACAATTATTCGTGCACCAGGCCATTCATTTTCAGCAGGTGCAGGCAATTTAAAGACTGAGAATACAAGCAAGCGTTTACGGAACGTTAGTGCCGTCAATTGCAAAAGCGTTTCAAAGGGGTCGGCAGTAACAACTCGGCGGACTGTCCGGCATGTTTGATTTATATATGTCGGGTCGACTTTTCAAATCTGAACAAAGACTTTAATATGAGACATTTGTTTTTAACAATAATTTATTTTATTTAACAAGATAACATGTTAGCAATTAATTAATATTATAATGATTAACGGTAAAAATAAGTAGTATTTTATCATTTAAACCGTCCGGTTACCCTTTTAAGTAGAGCGGACTGTAAATCGTGTGGCCCGAGTTCGATCTCGAGCTCCGACGGCAGGCCAGTTTCGTTGTGATCACAAAATCCTTTCTACGATCACAAAAGTTTCAGTTCCTTGTGAAAGCGAAGGCAACTGTAACTGGTAAAACTGCTTAATATATACACTCCTGCGCATCAGTCAAATGTTTCGCAATAAAAAAGGGGAAATAAGAATAAATATGCAAAGGGAGCTAACTTGACATCCTATCCAGGAATAATGTGATGTGGTTTACTACCGTGATCCGTAGTGAGAGTGAAAACAACCAAACACCACCACCTTCCCCCGATTTTCAATAAATGAGAGCATGTGCATTATAAAATTGTTTTGAACGTACGATCTTATTATAAATCGCTTTTATATTAACATTTTAAGACAATGCCATGAGTTCTCAAACTCAGATAGTTCTTAGTTTTTTTTCTATTTCTGTTGTCTATGCCTCCAGGGGATCTTTCATTTTAAGATTACTATTTTAAAATTTCACGTCAACTGGAAATCAAAAGCGAAGTAAAGTAAATGTCTATAGGCAAAATTTATGTTGCAATTTGTAATAATCATATATAAATGAAAAACGGTATTCAGAATGCAGGGAACAAAAGAACACATCAGATAACATTTTGGTTTCACAATTATACTGATATTTAAGCTGAGATAAATGCCGTGTGTAGAATTTGAAAGAGAATTGTGAATGTTCGGGAAACCAGTTATATAATGCAATACGTGAAACAGATGTTGTAATTTTCTAAAATGTTTTGTTTTATAGCTATAACGTTTATGACTTTCGTGCCTTGGATAAATCATTTATTTAAAGGCCTATCATTTATTTCAAGACCTCTTATGCCAGAAATGCTATAAGATTTTCTCAAGCCAGCTTCAAATCCCAACTCAAAATACACAAAATAGAAAAAAATGAAAGTCGAGTTAAATGTTGTGCTGAAGGTCTACCCAGCTTCACATCACAGCTCGACATGAAAAAAAGACAAGAAACGAATGTCGAGCTGAATGTTGAGCTGAATGTCTAGCCAGCTTCACATCCCAGCTCGACATTAAAAAAAGACAAAAAAAAAACGAATGTCGAGCTGAATGTTGAGCTGAATGTCTAGCCAGCTTCACATCCCAGCTTGACATTCAAATAGAAGACAAAAAACGAATGTCGAGCTGAAAGTTGAGCACAATGTCTAGCCAGCTTCACATCCCAGCTCGACATTAAAAAAAGACAAAAAAAAAACGAATGTCGAGCTGAATGTTGAGCTGAATGTCTAGCCAGCTTCACATCCCAGCTTGACATTCAAATAGAAGACAAAAAAACGAATGTCGAGCTGAATGTTGAGCACAATGTCTAGCCAGCTTCACATCCCAGCTCGACATTCAAAATAGGACAAAAAAACGAATGTCGAGCTGAATGTTTTGCTGAATGTCTAGCCAGCTTCACTTCCAAGTTCGACATTGAAAAAGGTGATAAAAAACGAATGTCAAACTGAATGTTGTGCTGAATGTCCAGCCAGCTTCACATCACATGGCGACATTCAAAATAGGACAAAAAGCGAATGTCGAGCTAAATGTTGTGCTGAATGTCTAGCTAGCTTTACTTCCAAGTTCGACACTCAAAATAGACAAAAAAAGAATGTCGAGGTGAATGTTGAGCTGAATGTCAAGCCAGCTTCATATTCCACCTCAACATTCAAAAATAGTCAAAAAAGAATGTCGAGCTGAATATTGTTCTGAATATCTGGTCTGCTTCACATCTCAGCTCGACATTCAAAAATAGACAAAAAACAAATGTCGAGCTGAATGTTTTGCTGAAATTCTAGCCAACTTCACATCCCAGCTCGACATTCAAAAAGAATATAAAAAACAAATGTCGAGCTGAATGTTGTGCTGAATGTCTAGCCAGCTTCACTTCCAAGCTCGACATTTAAAAAGAAGATAAAAACCTAATGTTGAGATGAAGGTTTTGCTGAATGTCTAGCCAGCTTCACATCCCAGCTAGACATTCAAAAGAAAAAATAGAAATGTCGATTTGAATGTTTAGCTGATTGTCTGGCAAGCTTCACATCCCAGCTCTTCATTCGAAATTTAGATAAAAAATGAAAGTCAAGCTGAAAGTTGTGCTGAATGTCTAGCCAGCTTCACATCCCAGCTCGACATTCAAAAAAAAAGTGATAAATTAGTGTCGAGCTGAATGCTGTGCTGAATGTCTAGCCAGCTTAACATCCCAGCTCGACATTCAAAAACCAGATGGAAACGAATGTCGAGCTGAATGTTGTCCTGAATATCTAGCCAGCTTAACATTCAAGCTCGACATTCAAAAACAGACAAAAAAACAAAAGTTGAGCTGAATGTTGTGCTGAACGTCTAGCTAGCTACACTTCCCAGCTGGACATTAAAAACGAAGATGAAAACCGAATGTTGAGATGAATGGTTTGCTGAATGTCTAGCCAGCTTCATATCCCAGCTGGACATTCAAAAATAGACAAAATACGAATGTCGAGTTAAATGATGGGCTGAATGTCTAGCTAGCTTCACAACCAAGCTCGACATTCAAAATAAAGATAAAAATCGAAGGTCGAGCTGAATGTTGGGTTGAATGTGTAGCCAGCTTCACATCCCAGCTCGACATTCAAAAACAAGATGGAAATGAATGTCGAGCTGAATGTTGACCTTAATATCTAGCCAGCTTAACATCCCATCTCAACATTCAAAAATAGACAAAAAAGAATGTCGAGCTGAATATTGTGCTGAATGTCTAGCCAGGTTCACATCCCAGCTCGACATTCAAAAATAGACGAAAAAGGTGTTTCAAGCTGAATGTTTTGCTGAATATCTAACCAACTTTACATCCCAGCTCGACATTTAATAATAGACAAAAAACGAATGTCGAGCTGAATGTTGTGTTGAATGTCTAGCCAGCTTCACATCCCATCTCGACATTCAAAATAGACAAAAAATGAATGTCGAGGTGAATATTGAGCTGAATGTCTAGCCAGCTTCATAGTCCACCTCAACATTCAAAAATAGACAAAAGAGAATGTCGAGCTGAATATTATGCTGAATGTCTAGCCAGCTTCACATCCCAGCTCGACATTCAAAAATAGACGAAAAAGGTATTTCCAGCTGAATGTTTTGCTGAATATCTAGCCAACTTTACATCCCAGCTCGACATTCAAAATTAGACAAAAAATGAATGCCGAGCTGAATGTTGTGCTGAATTTATAGCCAGCTTCTCATCCCAGCTCGACATTCCAATAGAAGACAGCTTAACAGTAATAAATTGAATGTCGAGCTGAATGTTTAATGTCGATCTCTGTGCCAACTTCATGGACTTGTTTATCTTTCATTACTTTTGTTTTAATTAAAGGGAAGTAAATGCAACTATATATGTCAAGTAAAGCGATTTTTGTTATCTCACCTCATCTGCTTGTGCACTTTATTACATTGAGAGTATCCAAGAATTCGTGGAATTTCTGTTTTATTCCCTATCTTTTTGTTGCTGTTAAGCACTTGACTTCACCATTTATACCTTGATAATGATTCGCATGTTTACTGAAATAATATATCCATCAGTTCGATACTTTTCATGCACCGTAATATTGTGTTATATATGTTAAAAATTTGATATGACTATTGAAATCGTCAATTTAATACTACGCATCGTATTTATTATTATTATTATCATTATTATTATTATTATTATTATTATTATTATTATTATTAATTTCCTTTTTCCTACTGTTTTAGTTTCCGTTTTTCTTTAACACTGAACCTACCAATCTTAATTACATTTTCACTGTAAATGTTCTATGTCTATATATCCAGTTTCAATCGAATCAGATTGGTAAAATAAAATAAAAAAAAAATACATAATAAACACAATTCATGCAAAGAAAAGAAATTAAAACACTATTTTTGAATGTAATATCAGCTTAGTAATACCCATAAGCAATATTTGTTGTATAATTACTTAGTTTGTTCGTATGTTCTTTTCCCAGTTATGTATTGATCATTCCCACTGCTTATAAACTTGTTTATAAATTAGCACACATGTTATGGCAGAATTTAATATTTTGTAATCTGTGTCTTCCAACTAAAAGAGTGTGTTCTGTTCTGTGACATATGAAAAATAGGACATAAATTTGTTAGTAGGGGCTTTATGTTTGCAACTTGCCATTATAATTAGGTAACTAAGTATGGCAACGAAGAAGGGTCAATGTGTACGAATGAGCAAATAATTTAGACTTTTTACTCAAAACTACCAGATTTTAAGCAATAAGCGATGAAAAATATACTAGAAAGCTTTTTCCTGACACATAATACAATATGTAAAGTAATTTTAATCATCAAAGTTTAATTTACCATTACAAACTCCCTTTGTAAAGATGAAAATTACCATTTTCACGAGTGTTTCTTCGGTATGTAAAAAAGTTTTTCGCCGAAATCCGTAACGTTTTCCAGGAACTCTGTAATTGTTATCAGAAGAACTCCTAAGAAGTTATCATAAAAACTCCATCCTTCTCAATGAATTGAGATAGAGTAAAAGGCTTTTCAGCGTCGGTTACTAGTTACCCTCAAATCGACCTGAGGCCATTTTTAGCCTGTCACATGTCCAAAATTTTCTTGGCGATAAGGGGGACTGCCGCCCCCATTCAAACCCTCCAAACAGAAGGGGGCACCTCCCCCTTTTGGCAACCCCCTGATGTAACATTTGGATGGGGGACGGCGCCGAAAAAGTGGTCACTTTTTTAACAACATTTCTCAAACGAAAAAAAATGTTTTGGGGCCTAAATAGGGCATTTTTTCATTGTTTGAGGCCTCAAAAAAGGAGGGGGGCAAAAGGCAGTCGAAACACGCTTATATAAGGGAAAAGGTTGAGCTAACATAACCGTGCGTCCGTTTTCTATGTGAGTTTGTCCATTGAAAAGCTAAGGCTTACCTTTACAGCAAAATACAAAAATGTAACGCAAGTAAGATCATGCTCATTTTACTAAATGGTGACTCTTTCGCATTTTAGAAACCTGTTTAATTGATATAAAGGTTAAAAGATATACATGTATTTCAATGAAATATTATATTTATTTTTTAAACGGTTAACTTATGTCGTTTCCATTTGATTCTTGAAGAATGTCTCTGTTTTTAACTTACATGAAAATTGTACATAAACAGCGGATCAAAAATATTATGCTTCTATTTTCAGTTGGGCTTGTAAAATGCTTGGTATCTGAAGAAAGTAGCGATAATAAATAACAAATAATAATTTGTCATAAAAGAAGCAAAATATAAATAATGTAGTATTTTGTCTTCCATACAAAATACAATATCATTTTAACAGTACTAATTACCCAAAAACAACAGAAATAACATGAGATGCATTTGTGGAGCACAATGTGCCTTTAAATATAAGTACCAATTTCTTATGTATTTAAATTTGATTCAATCAACACAGTGTACTTTCTTTCTAGCTGTGTAAAAGTTAATTTCTGTCTGTTATAATTATGTCAATTGTATGGTGATATTTAATCGCTTATTTGCTTTATATAATAGTTAATTCATCGACTAATAAATCAGTATGTACGAGTTGTGTCCCTTTGACAGTAACATATTACCGATAAAAATATAGCGACATACTTCCATAAAGGTATGTATGTCACTTTTATGATAAATAACCGTCTTTTGTAAAGTAAAGTCGTCCCTATATCCATTAATAAATCAGTAGTATTGTACATAGTGTGTACGTGTCAAGTTTGCACAGTAATGTGGCGTAGGAATATTACTGTTAACATCGTTAATATTTGATTTTCAGCTAACAAGTGTTTGTTTTCTTTTTACCTGTTATTCATTGATTTTTAACTCCGGTTTGTCAAGGATTTTGTTTACGGTATGTAAATTTTTATTATACATTCAAGATTTCGAAAAAAGAGCGCTTCTATCTTTGAGTCAACACTCGGTGTTATTTTTTTTTAATTATTTTATTCTTTGCAATGCGAGATTTCAAGCGCATCCTCCCTTGAAATAGGTCAGCTGTTAATGAGACACGCCTTATTAATGTACATGTGTATATATTTATATAGTTATAATTCTTTATGGCAAACTTTATATAAAATCACAGTAGCACACGGTTTTAGATGACTAGCTTATCTATAAATATATGGCTTGCATAAAATCACGCATCTCTGATACAAAGTGGTATAAAACGTGTATATACATCGCATATTTAACGCTGATATATTTATATAGCATTGCTTAATGAGCACAGAAATCACTTAAACGTAAACCTTTCATCTTTATTTTCATAGAGCGTGAACATTTACATGTTTATATACATCTCCTATACATGTACATCTTTAGATTTCTTACTACACAGTCATTAATATACTGACTGTAATATTTCCGTTCAGGATCGCATCCAATAACTGAAAAACAATATCCGCAATCTTTATATACTAAGGTAAACCTATCTTCATAGTTTTAGTATATAGAAAACAACCTTTGGGCGACAAGAACATATATGAGTATGTTGTTTTGCTGAGAGATGTTGCATTTGATACGTTTAATTTATTCGAAGTTTTATTTTAGGAAAATTAATTTTGTCTTTGTAAAGAGGTCATGTTGTTCTACAGAGGACCGCTCTGTATATTGATTGCACAAAATAACTTTTTGTTTTTGTAAATATTAATTTATATAGCTCTTATTTGTTTCTCATAATCGACATACAGGTCATTCAAGATGAATCTCAGGGGCGGGAAGGCGAGCACCGTTGCCATGATCGCAGGTGTCGCTGCTGCTGAAGTTGCCAGTATTGTCTACTTTATGTTTACCCCCTGGTTTCTGGGGCCCGGGGCACGGTCTCTGTACACGTCAATAGGGTGCAATATCCTACTGTTTGGGCTGATATTCAAACTTATCGAGTAAGACACCTTTTGTCAATATTTTATAGTATGTTGTATGCTTAGAATATTTAGATAATACTTTAACCAAACTTTGAGAGTACTTTGAACAGAAATAGTGTAAATAGCTGCTTGAATTAAGTATTTGTAAAGAGTCTTTAATTTTAAAAGTGTAAATGTAAAATATTGATCTGAAACAAGAATTGAAAAAGTAGCGGATATCTGAAGTTTTGTATGACCTGTTCTATATCTTATGACTTTATTATTATTATTATCATTATTATTTTTATCATTATTATCATAATCATCATCATCATGATTACTATTATTAATGTTATTATTATCATTTATCATCATTTATCATCATTATTATTATTATTATTATTATTATTATTATTATTATTATTATTATTATTATTGTAAATATAGTAAATGATTATTTTGTAAGGAAATCAAAATATTACATTTTTGCTACATTTACTACACATTACTGCACATTTAGCGCTACTTTCCTTGGCTGTTAATCATCTAAATATGCTCTAAATTCATTACAAAACATTATTAAACACATCTTTGACATTTCTAAAGAATTCAATAAATATGGATTTCTGAGGCTTAATGTACCTGTAAGTGTTTTGTTTTTCATACTGGCAAGCAATGCTTGATATGCTTTAAAGATAATGATAGTGCTAAGTGCATCTTAATACTAATCTTCTTTGTTCTTTGAAACTTCACTGATGAGTCACTCATATTCAGTACATTTATTTTCCGTTAACAATTTGTCTTTAGATGACTCAATTGAAATGGCAAGATCTCCCTTGCCTTTTCCGGGTATTTCGAATGAATAAGTAATGAAGTAGCTGTACAGAGTTAAGTAAAAGGCATTAAAGGATGATTAGTGATAATGCATATGCTGTTATGTCATGTAGAAGTGTTCACTTCTTATTTTTCTTCATGATGTATATAATGGTCTCATCGGCCTCATTTGGATCAAAATAGTGAACATCACGAAAATCGACTTGTAAACATATTAAGTATCATTCTGTGAATTATTGAATTCAAACTTTATAGTTCTTCTTTTGGCAGATAATAACCTTTAAGGACATTAATGGTGACCTGTCCGGGTCCGTACTCTCAGTGCCTGAAAGGGCGGTCGGATTCTCATTTAGCCTAGAATACATACATATATACGTAAAGCGCATATCCATGCGGACAATAGACGCGTTTATTTCCGTTTAACAACAACAGTACAGATTCCAAGCTGTAATTAAAGTGGTGATCAAATTTATTAGCATTCTAAATTTACAGGCAAAATGACTGATTAAGTTTAAAAGTAAAATTACTGAATGGTTGGACAGGGACCTAGAAGTGTCTGTCTATCTGTCCGTAGGGCAAGAGACTTTTGGTTTGACCTTCATCGGAGTTTTTCAGCATTATATACCACAACTAGTTGCCCAAGGTAGCTGACTCAAACAAGATTAATACAAGTTTTAAGAAACTCATTTAAAAATCAAACTTAAACAGTTATGTTGAAACAAATTAATCTAGAGTAAAAATTGTAATAAAACTCTTTTGATTCTTGTCTTTCAGAAAATACTGGTATTTACGAGCTTGGCAGGATGCCGTGAAGATGGGCATTTGGTTGACTCTTATATACATAGCAATAAATGCACCGTATGTCATAACCTGGTGGAATCCAGCCTCCTACCTCTACCTTTTAGGTCCCGCGGCCCACACCGCCGTACAGATCTCAGCCATGACACTATCCATTTGGTACTTCAAAAATAAGAAGTGAAATAGTTACATATCATATTAAGCAATTTTGTTTGTATGTGAAATCCACGACTTCATGTTGTTGTTGTTGTTGTTCATACTGATCATTTGATAGTCATAACAATGTTCCATCGTATTTGCTGTACCTTTTAGATAAATAATACTCCAATAGTTTAACAATATTTTAGGAAATATTTACTTTAATTATTCTTTCTAAAATATATATTGTATTTTATTGTAAAATGAAATAGAAATATTATTTATACAGGAACTATGTTCTTTTTTATGTTTTTCCGAGATAATTTTTTTGCATTAATATTAGTATAATACTTTTATCTATTTTAAATTTCCCTTGATTTTTACAAAAGATGAACTATGAAAATTTCTTAGCAATGCACATTGAGTTGCTCCCCCAAGCAGTTACTTCCCGTGGTCTGTTATAAAACTGCGTGACATCACTTAAGTAGTTATACTGCCCGTTTAATATTAATTTTTCCATTGAAAAAGATCGGTTACGGCTACCATGGTTGATCTCCTTTGTCTCTTTTCGCGGCAATCATTAGCAGAGGGACTCGACACAGTGTTGGGATAGTGTAAAAAGTAATTCTAGAAAAATTATATAAACTCTGTATATAATATATAGAAAAGAGGTTGAAGACGCCAAATCGGCCGAATGTCACAAGTCCAGTTAAAGTAAAAAATGCAAAGTCATTCAAGTACGTAAATCATAAATATAAAGCTATAATTATATCAAATTGGCTGGGATATTTAATCTCTCCTGGTCAATCAGATTTCACATTGAAGGTTCCATGATGACCGCAGTTTGAACATATCTGCTGATGTTTCTTAAATCAAAATTTCACCATTACCATGATTAAATGTTGATTTCTGCTTTAGCCGGTGCTAGGGGGTTGGACGGTAACTTGCACTTTCCAGTACCGTCCAAGAACAGGCTCAATCAAACCGAGTCTGCAACATTTTCAATTTTGTCGTTTTGAGTGTTCTTTAGAGCTTCCGTTTTTATCTATTCTAAATCGATTCTTATACTGATGTATAATCTTTTAATAAAAATAATCCAATGAACACCATTTATAAAACAATGTAAGTAATGGCGGTCTGGTTCAAGGCTGATTAAGCCGCTGACCAAAACTTTATTTCCATTGTCGCTTTTAACTTTGAATGTCGCAAATTATTTCGTGAAAGGAGCAAGATGGGTGTGGTGATTCTATTAAGGTTTCAACTTGCTTCTCGTATATATAATATGTACGGGGAGACTTGGAGCATTGTAAAAGGAATCTTATACCCATAACAGTTTCGACGTGATTGTTATATATTGTGCTATCGCCTTCTTACTTACTTCATTTTGAATAGGAAAATCCGCCGAAATACTCGCATGTTCAATAAATTGCCAGGTATGGTCATTATAATCTTTAAAGACTCACAAGTCAATAACTTGAGGTCAAAAATTATACTCAGTTGCAAAAGAAAGTGCGCACTTGGTCACAGGGAAGCTTTTGGCATATATGTTATCAAAAATTGCAGAAATGTATTAACTACACGACGGTTTACATGTGATTTAAATTTGGTTATTATCATAACTTTGGTTACGTATAAACAGCTCACATGTGTAAAATGAAAAAGTTGTAGAATTGTAATTTTTGTAAATGCGTTTTCGCCTTTGGATACTTGAATTTTTTCATGGAACATCTAACTCAGTTCCATATAAGGAAACGTCAGGTCCATGCGAGAGGCAACATGAGTACTAATAATAATCATGCGGGTTACTGGTTTTAATCCGGTTGAGATAGTTATCCCGTAGGCGTTAAATATCACAATTCTGGAACTTTATCTATTCAAACGAAACCAAAATTCTGACAATAATATTATCAAATTTCAGTACAAAGTAAACCGTTGAGTGGTTAATACATGTACCAAATTTGCCACTATTTGCTTTTATATAAAGTATGTATAAAGAATTTTCAAGTGACCAAGGGCACGTTTTCTTCTGAAGCTGAGTATCTTTTGACACCGTTCTTATATCAGAACGTTTCTATCTGATTGTTTTCTAACAACTCCAAACAATTTTTGTTATTAAAATAACAATAAGGACACACCCCAATTTTGGGTATCACAATATTAAATGACAGGCGATATCTCACATTTAATCAGTTGAATACGTAACTACATAACACTATATTGGATATACAAATGTATGATAAAAGTGAAACACTGGTGTTTACTTATCACATATTTAATTCGCAATGCATGACTATGAATTTGATACTGTAATTTATTGCCAAACTCACTGCAAGTATCTTTAAATAATGTAATCATTTAAACATAAGCTATGTTAAAATTTTCCTGAATTAAAAGGCTATATTAATAACTTAAGTTTTGTTTGATGTTCACGTTTCCTAGTTTATAATATTATAGTCTTTCTCATATTGTATTCAAAAGTCAACACAGTGCACATAGTAAAATGTGTTCGTAAACATGATAAGGGTAATTAGATGCTATGCTTTTTATATACCATTATTAAACTGGTCGGCATCTTATACTTCATCATAAACGAATTTTTTTTTCTTCTCTGAATAGCGCATATGCGTTTTAGAACGTTTAAATAATGGTTTTAAAGCACACTAAATGTTTATCACCTGAAGAAAATAGGGCTAAATGTGAAATAACTTGTCGTAAAAGAAGCAAAATGTAAACAGACTTCCATACAAAATACTTTATCATTATAATTTTACTAAAATAATTGGGACATGAGTTACTTTTTGGAAACTATAGAAGTACATAAAAAACACTTTTGAGAAATAAAAGTCAAGTCATTTCTTGAGCAAAATGGGCCTTTAAAGGCTCATTTTAAAATCTGTTCTCTTTAATACAAAAAAGCATGGACATAAAAGGGGATACTTTATCAAATCTGTCTTAAATGTTGGAAATTTCGTAAATATGTCCCGGACTTTCGTGATTATACGAATGTGACGGATATGGCCATTGTAAGCAAATATAAATCTACATTAGCTTTAACATCGAGGTCCGATGAGGTAAGTATCCGTGACTGTTGTATTTGTTTTGATGTTTTGGTTATTTTTTTCCATTGCAGAAGTAGCAAATGTTTTACTTCATTGACGAGCAAGTTCAAAAGTTCAGCGATTAAATTAAGTAAAAATGTGTTTCGTTTTATGTAGATTTGACGTATCTGACTAAAAAAAACGATGACAACTAAGTGTCCATCGAATAAAGCAGACGATAAATAATCAGATCAACATGACATACTACAGTAAGCAAAAACCGTACTGCTGCAAAAGCTTAATCAGGTTCAGTATACAAATATGACTCGCCTGAATTTAACAAAATTACATACATCAGTAAATTCGGGTTTAAAAGTAAGCAAACAACGTATATGAGGCATATATTAACACTCAATAGTGTTTGCACTTTAGTGGGCTCTCAACGCTTTAACACGCACCGCAATTTGTCCGCTTAATATAAAGATATACGTATATTGCTTCGTTGAAATGTATTTACATTTAAAAAGGAAATAGCATTATATAGAAAGACTGTAACGAAAAGAAAAGAAAATGGCTGACGGATATAGCATTGATACTGGAGAGAAACGGAAATTTGGCACTGTTGATTATGTTCTATTTTCTTTGATGTTTTGTTTTTCTGCCGCTATAGGATTTTACCATGCATATAAGGATAGAAACAAGAAAAAGACAGAAGATTTTCATCTTGGGGGTAGAAAGATGCACCCAATTCCAGTAAGCTTGTCGCTCTCGGCGACATTTCTGTCCGCGTTAACGCTCTTGGGGACGCCTTCGGAAATCTATACGAATGGAACTATGTTTTACTGGATTATTGTCGCCATGCTCATTGCAACTGCCGGTGCTGCACATATCTTCTTACCAGTTTTCTACAAGCTGAACAAAACCAGCTGTTTCCAGTACTTAGAGATGAGATTTGGAAAAGTTACCCGAACAGTTACTTCCATCTTGTTCCTGATACAAACTTTGGTCTATATGGGGTTCGTACTGTACGCACCATCGTTAGCATTCGAAGCTGTGACCGGAGTCTCATTATGGGGTTGTATGATTGGCACAGCGGCCGTGTGCACACTTTACACAACACTTGGCGGTTTGAAAACCGTGCTTTGGACTGACAGTCTTCAATTTAGTATAATGATAGCTGGACTTCTTGCAGTTCTTATTGAAGGATCAAAGGCTACCGGGGGATTCTCCAACGCTTGGGACATTGCTAACGATCATGGGCGAATAAAATTTGATGATTTCTCATTTGACCCGAAAACAAGACACAGTGTGTGGACTTTAGCAATTGGCGGATCGTTTTTCTGGTTGTATCTTTACGGTATTAATCAAGCGCAAATCCAGAGAGCGTGTTCTCTTCCCACTCTTCGACGTGCTCAGGTAGCTATGTGGTTGAATTTTCCAGGACTTGTTTTGATTGTGACATTGACCGTGTTAATTGGCGTGGTAATGTTTGCATTTTACAGCCAATGCCACCCGTGAGTTATGGAATTGTGAACAAAAATGACCAACTACTGCCGTTGTTTGTATTAGACACATTGGGGACGGTACCGGGACTTTCAGGGGTGTTCATAGCCTGTGTCTTTAGTGGAGGATTAAGTACTATCTCATCAGGTCTAAATGCCATGTCAGCCGTTCTGTTGGAAGATTTCATCAAACCATTTTGTTGCGGATCTGTTGTAAAGAAACATGGCATTTTTATGTCTAAAGCACTAGTTGTTGTTATTGGAGTTATACAGTTCGGAGTAGCCGTACTGATTTCTAGATTCTCCGGTTTGATCCTCCAGTTCTCATACAGCATGTACTCCATTACCGCCGGACCAATCTTTGGTCTCTTCGTCGCCGGAATGATATTCCCATGGACAAACAAATATGGTGCACCCATTGGCTTTCTTGCGTCTATAGCTATTATGTGCTGGTTAGGACTTGGCGCCTTGATTGAGAAGCCATCCGGATATAAACCTCTGCCGACATACACATCGGCGTGTAACTGGACGGCGATGGGCAAGTCACCGCCGGTAACAACTTTAGCGCCTATTGTCACCGGGTCTACTACAACTACCGAAGAACCAATTCTTTACGACTTTTACCGAATGTCTTACCAGTGGTACACAGGACTTGGAATGATAATATGCGTCGGTGTTTCTTTATTGGTCAGCTTCTTAACAGGGTATACGAAACCGTCCGCTATCGACAGTCGACTTATGTGTCCTATTTTTGACATTATGTTCCCATTTCTTCCCGAAAAAGTACTCAAACCAATGCGATTTGGAGTGGTATATGACAAGAACGAGAAGTATATAACGAATGACGATAGCACCGAGTCTGATGCAGAGAAGATAAAGAACGGCGTTGATAATCAGTCCTTCTCCGTGGAGAAACAACATAATCTGAACTCTACCAAACTTTGAGATATGGTTAACACTACATGTATATCAAAACAGGAGTTGATATTACAGCTGGCAGTTAAAAATTTATGTTTCCTTTACTAATAATATACTAACTTTCTTACCATTATGTTTAGAGATAGTTTATATATACATGTATTTCAAAAAATTATGTACTCAGATTTATATAGATAAAAAGCGATCACGTGACAGTGACTTGAGAAATCATTAAAACATCATTTTTTAACCTAAATTTAGTAGAAGCTTGTGGGGGAAAATCGGTCTTGAAGCCAAAAAAAACGCTTTACGACCACTGGAAACCAATCAAATAGCTATATTTTTGCGTCAACCTGGTGACTGGAAATGAATAAAGTATTTATTGGAAATGAATTAAGTGGTTACTGGAAATGAATTAAGTGGTGACTGGAAGTAAATATTGAGTGTTGACTGGCACTGATTTAAGTGATGACCGGAAGTAACAAAAATATTTACAATAATTGAATCAGAAAAAGATTTCCCAAGTTAAGGCGAAAAAATTCGATATTTTAATATTTTAATATGTGCAATTGTATTTTTACCTAATTAAATGGATCAATTTTAAAAAAAAAAAGTTTTTTGTTAATTCAAATAATGGTAGAATTGACATCGAAAATGACGGGTTAAATAACGTAGACAACGTTCATTATTACGTCATAATATTTTACGTCAATTTTAAACTTAAAATGATGTAATAAACCGGTGAGTTCAATGTTTTAGTTCATTTGTTGATGTTATTATTGATTTAATATTTAAGTTTCAAATGCACTTAAACAATAATTATAGTCGCATGCAAGATTTCACAGCATTTAATAATAATGATATGGTCGATTGAGATAATGATAATTTTGTTGGATTACTTACAATATAGAATATATTACAGAATACTTTCACCAATTTATATCATGAACTAAGCTTTATGGTTTATATATCAATAAAATGCAGTCGATGTATGATTTCAAATATCTGTGAACAAAATTATGCAGTCAAATCTATTTTGGGCAACTGTGTCAATCAGTTAAGGTAAAGTACAATTTTTGTTTTTTATTGTTTTGTTTTGTTGTTGTTTTTTTCAATCCGTGAAAAAAGAATGGCAAAACAGAGATTATAACTTATAAGTTGATATTTTAGGACTAAGTTGACAGCGTACATCTAGCATTGTTATTTTTTTTTTCGTAAATCAAACAACTTCATTATATTACCGCCGTAGATGGTTTCTTTTGTAGTGATATCTCCATACCACACTTGAAACGACCTTGAATCGCAAAACAATTTTGATTTTGATATGTTCTAAAAATTACCCTTGGTAGATCTAAATGAAAATGCGTCTAAAATAAATTTATGTAAGGCCTTTGCCATTTAGATAAAAAAAAGTTGGTCACGCTTGAAAGATTTTAACAAATAAAGCCTAAAAGTAGATAAAAATGCGGAATATATGAATGTCCCCACCCTGCGAGTAGTAAATTACTCGGCCTCAGAAAGCTATAACATAAGTTCCCTTTAATTATATACCTATACAAAAAAGTGTTTTAATCAACTGAGCTTTTATTAGTTATTTCAAATACAGAAATTTAGCTTTAAGAACTAAAAATCATGACGGATGGCACATGGTCTTTATATTATAAAGAATGGTCATTTTCTAATAATCTTGTTTTTAGAAAGCGGAAATACAAAATGTACACATATTTCTGATATTTTGAATTAATTAACAATTTATGCCAGTGGATATTTTTAAATATTGCTATTAGGCATACAAGGTATGCTCGCGTGATATTACCAAAGTAGACATTAAATTTCAATAGTTAAATAATATACATTCGTTACTCAATATTCATTAAAGCTACTATCCCACATATTGTAGTTTGGGCGTGTTTGAAATAAAATGTCATCAAAAGATACAATTTAAGTACAGACTTGTACATTTATATGGAACTAGATGATTAAGAAGAAAAAACATGTAAATACAGTTTTTGCAATATTAATGATGCTGTAATTTTAAACCGTTGCAACGTTTTATTTTGTAAATATTGATTTAATGTATACACACACCCGTTAACTGGTTGCAATTAGATCAGTAACTGACAATATATCATTGAATATTATGTCTATAAAAACACGGGGGAGGAAGTGTTACACGAAGGATGGAGTTCTTATGATAACTTGTTTGGAGTTCTTATGATAACTGTCACGGAGTTCCTGGAAAACGTTACGGATTTCTGTGGAAAACTTTTCTATATACTTTGAGAAATCATGTAAAAAATGGTCATTTTTACCTTTAAATGGGGAGTTTGAGGTGCTAAATTAAACTTTGATAATTAAGCTTGCCCTACGTATTATATTTTGTTTCAGAAAAAACTTTTAGTCATTTTTCATCGTCTTTTTTAAAAATCTGGTAGTTTTTTGAATAAAATTTCCAAAATTACTTGCTCATTCGTACATACTGACCTTTTTATTTGTGATCTCCTTCGTTGCTTTACTTAATGACCTAATGATAATGGAGAGTTGTAAACATAAAGCCCAGGCTAATAAATTTATACCCGATTTTTCAAATGTCACGGAGTTCTTGTGATAACCCCAAAATATGTCCTGGAGTTCTTATGATAACTTTTGTTACTGCCAGTGTGTTTCTTGTGCTTAATTACGGTACGTTTACGCGAATTTTATTATTTAATGAGTGTTTAAATTATCATGAAACTTTATACTCTCAGCCTAACACAAAAATAAGTAATATATAATGTTGGTTTTGAGCGTGTTTTAGTTAAAAAGATATTTTTCTAATAAAATCTGTGCGAATTCATATTTACATTATAAAATCGAACGAATGCACTAAATGTTTCTGTGTATGTTAACGCTGAATTTACAGCAACTACAGAGAAATATATAAGTCGCATAATAGACATGCATATCGTTATTATGATGAATATGCGGTACATGTATATAGCTTGGTGTGCACGTAAATTTTAGGTAACTATTAACTTTTTCAGGATTCGGCTGTCAGAAAACCCCAAATCTTTTAAGAATAGATTGAACATGCAACAGTCTACTAAGGACAAAAAGGTGAATTATGGGCTATCTTCAGGAAAACCTGAACCAGCGGTCACCTGCGTGCAAAAATGTTAAAAAATTAAACTTTTTTCTCAGTTACATGTTTTAAGCAATCGCCTTTCTTAAGCAGACAATATATAGTTGGGCTTTCCTCAAGAAGCGGCTAAGTAATTTGTATCATTTTATACCATAAACAACAAATAAATATCTGGGATATCCTTCACACCCATGCAACCGAAATGTATGATCTTTTTAAACATAAAAAAATCAACCGATTACTATCGATCTCTTCAACAGATTTGCACGAGCCCTACGGGTTGGAGCGAAAGAAGTTCGACAATATAGTTTTGTTATCAATTACAGAAAAAGTTTCCACAACTAGGATTATTCAGGGGGAATGCCCGAAGGACTCCCAACTTTGATAAGAAAGATGTATGCAATAATTTTCCGCAATATGGAGATTTCTGTACGTCACGTGATGCTTCATTGGATTTAATAGAGAAAGGAACGGCATGAACCATGGTGACTCACATATATTATTAAAGACTTACTTTTTATTGTCATATCATTTTCATAGAACTTTATACGTTTCTATGACAAAATTTATACATTTTAGAAATAAAGATATCCATTGAATACCTAAAGATGACACCCGCCTCTTTAAATTTAGATAAAGGTAGTGCATACTACTTCCTATTTTGCTGCAAATCATTTACATGTAATTTGTTACGGCAGAGCGATAGCATAATTACTTAATGTTCTCTAAAACTGCCAGGAATAATGTATACATGAAGAAATCATGCTTAAATATTAAATGCAAAGCGTATTTTTATACTGTAAGTAAATGCTCTACATCAAGTATGTTTTCAGTCATTCCAATAAAATGAAAAAAAAAAAAAACACAAACAAACACAAAAAACCCACACGAAACGGGGGTAAGAAAAATATCTCTTGAACTGAAATACGCTCAAAATCAACGTTATATAACCAAATGTGTGTGCAAATGATACGCGT